CCCCAAAACCCCAAAACCCCCCCTTTACTGCTATTTTGAAATAAATGGATTTGATTTTTTAAATGATGAATGATATTTTAAATTTAGAATTTTTAATGTTCATATTGATTACTATTTTTATAATTTTAGATCAAATAAATAGGATATTCTATATGATAAATATGTTTATTTTACTCATTTTACTATTCAAGTTTACTTTGGAATGATCATGTATCATTAATTCCTTCATTTAACTTTATGATATTTAGGTGCGAGCAATCAGTATTACGAGTAAAGCTCTGATTTATGTCTAGGTAAGCTTTGATATTGACACTCTTTAGACTGTTCATCTTCAATATTTGGTTGCTCTCAATGTCTGGTTTAGAAAACAAATCCTTTTTAAGCTGCTATTCAATGTCTCTAATGCAAAGATGGATTATATCTATTAACCTAACAAATAACTTAGGGAAATGTTTCTAACAATTATTCTTACTGCACTCCTGATTGCAATAAAGCCCACTCATCATACGTCAATGATCTCTTGTCTAAAAAATGCTAATGTATAAATATTTCTTATTATTTCAAACTTTAGGGTGTGGAATAGGCTGTTAAAATTGCTAGCCAACAGTTGGTTGTTTATAGTGCTCATCTTTAAACACTCAAAGCGGCTGGGTTCTAACAAAAACATCTCCTGAGCTATATTTGACATCATTTTCTTAATGCAAGTGTATGTAAAAAATTTTAGAAAAGATTATCCTTATTAAGTTTAAATTTAGAATGCACCTCACAATATGAATGCTAGAAATGTGATACTACAAACATTTCTAAATGCACCTAATGTACGTATCCAGTGAATTAGAGAGCCTTAGCATAAAGTGATACTACTAACCCTTGCGGTAAAATATCATGTTACTAATTAAATAGTACCTCTCATATCTTCAACTTTAAGTTCTGATCTTAACTGTCAAATTTTCGATTATACTAATCAAGCGAATTGTCTTAAATGTAAATCTGGCTATTTTGTAAAATAAAGCGGATATTTCAATACAACTACAAGCATTTACCAAGATTTTTGTTTTAGTCGTAACATTAATTGCCGCTCATATAAATTTGATTATAGATGTATAGCCTACGTTATGTTTAGATCCAGCTTCAGAGACTGTCTGTTCAAACTGTATCTATGGATACAGCATTTTTGTATAAGACGATCAAGCTTTGTGCTATGGTATGATTTTTTAATATAATTTATCCCAGATTGTAATTCTAATGTCGCTGGCAGTATTATTTCAAATTTGAGATGTACCTTTAAAAAGGACAATGCTGATAATGTAGTACTGGATAAAGTTACAGCTTGCTTGGACGGATACGTTAACGAATTGACAGGAAAGTGTGTAACTAATTGTGGGACTGGTAAGTTTGGTTCAGTAACTTATGGCCTGAGAGGAATGATTAATTCAACAACATGTCTTGACTGTGATTCCTCATGCTTTGAATGCACAACAGTCACTGAATGCTTGTCATGTAAAAAAGGAAATTATCTCAGTGTTACAAATACTGATAGGAAAACTGGAACATGTCGAGTCAAGGCTGGAACCTTTTAAACAACATACTATGTGTAGTCGAAGTAAGGAATTCAAACTGCTACTAAAATTGATGGAACAAACAGATTCCCATTTTACTCAATTTAACATGCCATTACAATGGCTTATTCTACTGGTGCAAGATACAAGTCAGCAACTTTCAATATTATACTCTTTTCCAACTAGACACATTCTATGCAAAGATATGATACAAATCTGAGCTCAGTTTATAATTTAGACAAAAACTAATAATCAATAAAAATTATAATCGACACCTTGAATAAAGTTAAAACTAAGGTGTATTATAAGTCTAGAGATGCATTCACATTTTTGGTTGGGGCTTAATTGACTATTTAGAACATAATATTTGATGCTAGTGATTCAATCCTAAGCCCAGCTACTAACATCAACTTAAATCAATTTAATGATGTGAAATATAATTGCTTAAAAAACCCTACTCTGTCATGCTGTTAATTTGATTCCAGTGATAACTATATTCTTAAAGGATCAGATTATTGCAGCAATTATACTTTACCGTAATTGAAAATATATAATTAATAATTATAGGTCAAAACATTGTTCCTCTGAGTAATTTGGCTCTGTTTTCTAATTTGATGTCAGTAGTCAAACAACATTAACTTCAATCCCATATCTAAAATTAACTGTAAAAAAGTTTCTTTCTTAAATTTCATATTAGAATGTTTAATTTCGCAACTTTCTATTTGATTTCAAATACTTTATTGAAATGAATCAGCACGGTGGCTACGTTTTGTTAGTCAATGTGATATTTGACAATTTTAACAGCTGTGGAACTCTTATAGGAACAGATGGCTACTCAAATTAATTGGATTAATATCAAACAAAAATACTTGATTCGAGCAATAATGACCTCTGCAATAGAGAAATATAAACAAATTAACTTGCTATATTCAAGCAAGCATATTTGTTTTAAAGATCTTGAAACTCTGCAGCAAGGTTTATGTCCAGATAGGTATTGCCATAATATTTACATTCAATAATGTTCTACTGGAAGGCTAGCATTGATCAACGGGTTTATGGATATTTAAGTCCCAGAGGTTCCACTCTTGGCACTACATGTTCCAGTTTTCCTATCAGTATTAGTAAACTGAGGTAATCTCATTTTTCACATGACAAGCATTCAGTGGCTGTAGTGCATTCAAAACATGAAGAATCGAAATTATTTCTCAACCAAAAATATTGTAGAGAAAAATGGAAAAAAGTGTAAAAATCTTAGCCTAAAAGTAGCATTAGATAATTAGGTCTCAATATAAGATGAACTTCAATTACTATAAGATATTTATTTCACCAGATTGTTAAAATTCGATATTGCGGGGTTTTGGGGTTTTGGGG